ACGACGACTACTACAAACACGACAGACTACGGCTGCGAAAGAGACTGCGACTGCGACTGCGACTGCGACTGCGACTGCGACTGCGACTGCGACTGCGACTGCGACTGCGACTGCGACTGCGACGACGACGACGACGACGACTACCACCACTACTACTCCTACTCTCCTACTTCTACTCTCCTACTCCCCGACTCCTACTGCTCCTCCTGCTGTTGCGGCGATTTTGAACTCTAACCGGCTATGCATGCAACCAGGCCTGGCGAGGTACCTGGATGAGCTCTGGGGGCGAGGTCAAGAAACACATCCTGAGAGATTTCGGAGATTTGATTCCGTTCAGAGAGTGAGTCCTTCTTCCTGTCTCAATTCACACAGCAAAGGCACTCCACCAAGCGGCTCCCGGCATCTTCCACGACGTCCGAGCACCAGCAGGCATGCATCGGCATCCAAGAGCTAAAGACCTGAGGCTTCAGCGTTTTCGGATTTTGGGCCATGGGGTGCCGAGCGAGGTCAGCTTGAAACGGGTGCATAGACTCGAATTGCGCGCAGCCATATGGGTGGTTGTCAAAATTAGGGTCCCTTTTTGGGTCCTTATTATAATACGGCACCTATTATTTGGGTACCCCAAAAGGGACCTTAATTTTGACAACTACCCATATGTGAAATCCACAGCAAAGCTAAACGGCAACGATTCCTGTGAGCAAGGATCCATACAAGCCGAATTCCTCACGCCGGAGAGTTCGAGGTAAGTCAACATGACATGAGGACCCTGAGAGCCATAGGCCTATATCCCTTTTTTCAGGAATATGTCTCAACATTACAAGGGGACCTAATAATATGGCTTGAAGTCTTGAAATGTCTTCCTTCAATGAAACACGCAGACCGACTCTGACAAGCCAGGATACGCCCCATGAGACCCCAAGAAACTTCCGAAAATGTGGAATTCCGCTTCCGCGGGCCTCAATACTGAGGTCCCACTGAACCTTTATTTATGCAGGGTATAGGACTCACGAGACACAGATGCCTAAACCCTTACAAACTCTAACCCCCAAGCCCTACCCAGAGAGCCCAATACCCCTTAATTAAGGAATATACCTTAAATCATAGAGCCCTCAATATGGTGATTTAAAATATATTCCTTAATTCAGGGGTACTGGGCTCTCTGGGTAAATCCCTAAGAACCCTAACCCTAACCCCCCAGTTACCTACTATATAGGGCACTAGAGCCCCCAAGGCCTTGTATAGTAATTAGGTACCTGGAGGGTTAGGGTAACTTAAGAACCCTACCCTAAACCCTAAACCCTAAACCCTAAACCCCTAAACCCCTAAACCCCTAAACCCCTAAACCCTAACTGCCGCCCGGAGCGGCGAAAAGCGGCGCTTCGGCCGCGAAGCGCCGCACCGCGGCGCGGCGGTCCAGGCGCAGGCTGCGTAGCTCCGTGGGCGCCTCGGAGCTCTTGGGGAAAAGGGACTTCTTTAAAGTGGATGTATAGGATTTAGGCTCCGGGGAAAAGGGGGTTCAGAGAGTTTAGGGTTTGGGGCTTAGGGTTGCTAATAGGGGGTTTGGGGTTGAGGCTCTTTTATATACGGGATTTGGGGTTAAAGGTGTAGGGTTCAGTCTCGATTGAGGAGCCATTTTTGAAAGTGTTGCGAAGTGTTCAGAGGGTTTCGTAATAATTTCCAAGGGCTTCATACGGGGTTGTATGCCATCGCATGGGTTTCCCAACGGCTTGAAGGTCTGTTAGGGGCAGGGTTTCGAGATTTGTGGGCCAGGACCTGAGGACAACCAGCAACAAAAGAATTCGGATGGTAGCGCTCAGAGCAGCAGTAGCATCAAGCCGCACTAGTCGGGCTGAACGATGATGATGATGACGACGGTGAGAATGAAGAAGAAGAAGAGGATCATGATGACGATACCGGTAGAAGTAGTCGTGGTCGTGGTGGTAGTAGCAGCAGCAGTCGTCGTGGTTGTCGTTGTCGTCGTCGCAGTGGTGGTAGTAGTAGTAGTAGTAGTAGTAGTAGTAGTAGTTGTAGTAGTCGTAGCAGTAGTAGCAGCAGCAGCAGCAGGAGTAGTAGTAGTAGTAGTAGTAGTAGTAGTAGTCGTCTTCGTCGTCGT